CGGGCAATTCTGCGTTGATAGCCTTGAATGTGGTACAGTGCTTTCAGTCTTCTCTCGTCAAAAAGCAATGAGTTCCTCAAATCTGCTCTGCTGCCATCTGCCTCGGCTATTTGACCACTCGGCTAATACTTCGTAATGACGGAACCTCAATCTCGATAGGGTAGAACAGCCTCCATTCCATAAACCAATGAATACGGAGTCGCTCCGGTAGAAGTTCTGATTGAAGTCCTGTAGCCCCACAGAGCAAACGACAGCTTATCTGGCCAATCCCGGTAGGTTTCCACCGTCTTCTGCAGTATGTGTTTTGATATTCTTGTTGGCGGCCTCGACCGCTCGTTGGTTTGTGGCCGGTATGTAGATGACTTATTTGGGAAAGCCACGTTGTATTTCTCCAACAAGTTTTCACTTCCTTCTTAAGTGGGAACCATTATCTGAAATTATCTTGTTTAGGACCCATAGCGACAAAATGATGTTGTTCTTTGTATAAACTTTGCAACGTGTGACGCTTCAACACCGCATATGATTGGGCCTCGACCCCATTTCGTGAAAATTGAATCTATCGGCAACCAGGGATGAACTCATGCCCATTTTGACCCCTCGGAGTGACAGCCCCGATCACATCGATTCCCCAAACTGAAAATGGCCATGGCGAAGTCATGTTGTACAGCTCGACGGCGGGATGTTCATGCGGTGCATGAATCTGACATTTGTGGCATCGCCGAACAAAACTAATACAATCCTCCTCCATGGTGGACCAGTAGTAACCCTGATTTGAGATCTTTCGTGCTAGCATTACTCCGTTCACTGCGCACCGCTTCTCCCTCCATGGATGGCCATCCATCAGGCACTTCGATTCTTCGCTTCAACACACAGGTTTAGCATTCCCAGATGACTCTCTATACAGTTTTTAACCCCCCTACAGAATGATGAACTGGACCGACCATTTCTTCTGATGGCCCCTTACCTTTGGCATTTAACCCCCCCCCCCCCCCCGCCCCGCCCCCCCATGGCGGGTATGCTTCATTTTCCAAGAAATTCAATGGTCATATACCAGGGGTTTTCGTCCTGAACCTCATCTATAGCCAGGCAATCGACTCCATAGGCCTGGCGCAAAGTTTCTGGTTAATGAGACTGGACGCATCCGGATTCCAAAATGCGGATGTTCTATCATGGAACATAGAGTTTGCTAGAGAACTGCGAACCTGTTGTTCTCCTGTGGGAAGATGAGCAAAGTTTAGCTTTTCAAACCGAGGGATTAACAAGTCCAAGGTCGTATCTCTCTCTATCCACGACCCAAGGGGCAAGTTTAAACCCAATTGGGCTGGTCCTTACATCATCAAAGCTATCTGGTCAGGTGGAGCTGTTGTTCTGATGGATCTAGATGGCCTAGAATTTTCACAACCGATCAACATGGACAAGTTGAAGAAATATTACCCCTGAGAGGCTCGCTAGGCCGAAAACCCGAAAGGGCGACCTAGGCAAAAGTTAGAGCACAAAAAATTGGAAAATATAAAAACTGAGCTCGCAAGGTTGAAAACCCGCAAAGGGCGGCCTTGGCAAAAGTTAGAGCGTAAAAGGAGAGTGAAAATACTCGAGTGAACCTAAGCCTGAACTACGTAAGGCTTGATTCCCATCTTTGAGATACGTAGGCAACTTCACCCTGAAGTTCAGGCATAAACTTTTCCCCGATCAACTTTGTCCATTTTGACCATCTCGGTCATCTTTATCCATCAGCATTTATCGCGATCTCCGGTACAGTGCTATTCAGACTAGAGGCAACTTTCCGTTGCCGCGACGATACAGAGCTATCCAAACTAGGGGCAACTTTCCGTTGCCATGCAGTGCCGCGGTACTCTCCAAACTAGGGGCAACTTTCCAGTTGCGGGGATCTGGGATTGTGCATCTCAGTGACAGATCTTCGGTGTGTCCAGTTCTGATCCATATCGAAAATGGTTTTGAAAAGTTTTAATAAAATTTGACTTTGTTCAAATTAATCTCTTTACAACTAAGACCATTTTTGGACCAAAGCGGAAAACTTTCAGTACCACAACCTTCAATTTCATTAATTTCAAAACAGAGTTCTCCTGTTCTTGCATACAGTTGAGGTTGCTTTTTATTACATTCATAAAGAAAACTTGAAAGTACTAATAAAGCAATAAATTCGGGGCATAGTCAGGTCAAGCATCCCTGCGCCCCCTCCCAGAGCTGGTCAAAACCTCTGACGCCAAGGTGGGCCCGACCTGTGCCTCCTCATTAAGCCAATCCAAGCACTCGTCAGACAAAGTGCAACTGAAAGTAGGAGCAGGGGCCAGAGTCCTCCATGCTGTGGCATATCGGACAAGCTGTGCACCTCGGACCGGGAAAGCAGCTGGGTACTCAATCCCCTCTAGTGGGCAGATTTGATCATGACCGAACTGGCGCAGGAACCGAACGGAAAGTAGAACACACAGTGGGTTAGACCAATCAACTGGATCCCGATCAGCCGGGACATGCTATAGCTCATTGCCGGGAGGTTGAGCCAAGGGCAACGCCAAGCAATACGATCTGCGGACAAATTGCACATCCAGTCAAACCACCACCTTTCATCAGGGGCATCGACTAGGCGCTGTCGAAAGAAATAGCCTCGAGCCGAGTAGGCCGGGCAAGAGTCCACGACCTGCAATTTGTCCATTAACCATACCTGGGGGAGGGATGAAAAATGAGAGAATAAAGAATAGAGAGGCGTACGATGAGAGAAAAGTAAGACAAGGGTTTTGTGAGAAAAACCGAGCCTGAGGGCCGAGTGATGTGAGCAAATACATATGTAAGGTTGGGTGGGAAACATTATCTGCAGCAGCAGTGGACTCCCAGCAAACCTAGTCGCCTCCCGGCGATAGACAGAATCTAAGCCCATCAGTGTCTCGGCCAAGGTCATGGCAATACAGCTATTTCTTTCTCTCAAGCCTTGGGCAACTTCAATCAGACGAATGCTAGCTCCGCCGAAGCCCGAGGAAAGCAGAAAGTGAGACAGCAAGCACAAGCAAAGGGCGTGTTGCCGGAAACCTTGCCAATAATGGTTGCTGCGGTCACTGGCGTCAGAAAAGCGATGGATCAAGCCAAGGATATCCAGTTCCCCGTTACAGATCAGAGACCGAGCATCATGCGCGGTGAGTCCACACATCCGCCCTAAAGCCTGGGCGTAGCCAAAGCGGAACTGGGGCAAGATCTCTTCATGACATTCAGACTCCATCAAAACCTGAAAATCTTCAAAAGTTGGACATACCTCTTGACCACCGAAGCTAAAGACGTGCATCACTAGGTTCCAAAACCTCGCCGTGGCATGGAGGAAAGGGAAATGTAGCGGAGTGCGGCTCAGTGTGAATAGTGCATTCAAGCCGAAACCCTGGAAGTTCAGCTTTTCCGAGCCATCTAGAGAAGAGATCCAAGATGTGAGATTTTCTGCGAGAAACGCCTCCATCTTTGTGCAAAACTAAGATGAATTGAATCAAAGCACGGAGCTGAGGCTTTTATAGAGGGAAAAACAGTATTCAGGAGGACACGTGTCGAAAATTGGACGGCTGCAGGGATAAGTGGCCGGCCGGCCACCTTTTCTAGCTGGCGGGCCACATTTCTCCTTTCCAACACAAAAAACTGGCCGACCGGCTCCCAAAAGTGGCCGGCCATGCTCCAGAGTATGCCTTTGGCCCTGTTTTACCCTCCGACGGAAACTTTTAAGCATTTCCATGCAACGGATGTGCCGAAGGCCTCTATTTCCCTCTGTCTTGGATGCGTTCCGTTGTCCAGATCGTCCGAAGTACACTTCACTTTGTTAAGTCTTGTTTATTGAGTTGTTGTTTTGTTTATCGAGTTGTTGTTTTGTTTATCGAGTTGTCGTTTTGCTTATCGAGTTGTTTGTCGAGCTGTCGTATTTCGTGCTTTTGAGTTGTTACTCTTTGTTTAAGATTTATTTTTTTTGTTTAAGTCTTGTTTATCGAATTGTCAACATTATTGCATTTTGATTATCGAGTTGTAAACTTGCTAGGGTTCTGATATATCTTAGTAAGTTGAGTTGCTTAGTTTGTTGCGTCGGTTCACTACCTGACTTGGTGATTACACAATGCACATTCCCATTCAATTTCATTTTTGTGCAAAATAAAATGATGCGATACGATGCTAAAAGTTTAAAATACAAACACCTTTTCAAAAGCTGTTTCATTCCATCATGTTTTACAACAAACAAAGGCATAAGTTTTACAAAAAATAAAACTGCCTAACAATATGCAAAGTGCTACAAACTACTAGCAAAAAGGAAAATAAAGCAGGAAACAGCAGCATCAATGCCCTCGGGAGCGGGAATGAGAGGCCCTCCTCATCCTCTTCTGCGAGACAACCTCTGCACCATCATCATCATCCGGGTCGGAGCAGTCGTCCTCAAGATCCCCCTCAGCCTCGCCTCCGCTCCCGGAACCAAGACCGGAATCCCCCTCCTCAGCAGATGTCTCTGACTGACGGTCTATAACCTCCTCCTCCTCCTCCTCCTCCTCCTCTTCATCGGGCTCCGCCTCTACAACATGTGCCCTGCGTCTGCGAGAGGACCCTCCTCGAGCTCCTCGGAAAGGTTTGGATGGCCCAGCTCTGTGAAAAGGCCTGGATGGTCTAGCTCCCTGAGAAGGCCTGGATGGCCCAGCTCCCTGAAAAGGCCCAGATGGCCCAGCTCCCCAAGAAGGCCCAGGTGGCCCGGCCCGCGGCTGAGCATATACCGGAGGCATCTGAGAACAAAGAGTTCAAATTAAATACATCAGTCTAAATGTGTACATCAGATGCAGATGCAAGCAAAAAAGGGCTACATGAAGTGGGTGCATGTAAACACAGTGTACAAGTGGGGTGTGTCAGATGTGCTCTACACAAATAGCCTATCAATGCAGTAGAAATCAGCATGTCATCAGAAGTATGATAAATGCCAGAAAACTGAAGGGTACCTGAAAGCCCATGATAGACAACTGTGCTTCCCTCTGCAAGACCATGCCCTCGAGTGAGGCTACCAATCCGATCACCTCCTCCATGTACTCTCTGGGTGGCTGCAAATACAAGCTCAAATCATCAGCAAAAGAATGAGTGTCTAAACATTTGAATGATAGATGAAAAGCAGTAGAACATACCGGCGGTGAGTCGGGATCAATGACATATCGATGACCGGGCATCGTAGGCTCAATCGGGATCGAAATCGGAGAGGTAGTCCCAAACTGCCACCTCATCAGCTCAGTCGGCATATCCGGCCACCCAGGATGAGGAAGAGTCGGAGGAATCGGAGGAACTGATCTACCCCCACCTCTCGATGTGCCAGCCCTGCTGGTGGAAGGGGCATCTGCAGCCCGAGCCCGGGCCTGGCTCGAGGATGGCATACCAGCAGACCTCATCATCGGGGTGCGAACTCCTGTCAATGGAGGCATCAGGTATGTATGACGGTAAGTGGCGTAGTCCCCCTCCTCGAGATGTAGCAAAGCATCAGTACCCAGCATAGCACTGACTACATCCTGGGAAGAGAACCTATCAGCAGTCCGCATACTGACTGGGGGTGCTGCAAGAGGGTCCTGAGAAATGTACCTCCATACCTGATGCAAAAAACGTTCCCCCAGAAACCATGCTCTACCAACCGGTCCTTCGAGTAGAACCCTGTACTGGGAGGTGCCCGATCCTCCGGCATACTGAAATCGGAGACCATCACCCAAGGGTGCCCAGGGCTGCCATGTGATCTGCGGATAACAAGTGCATAAACCAATCAGAAATCGGGAATATACATGGCAAATCAAAGATGAAAATGGAAGGGACTGAGAGTTTTGAAATACCTCCGTCGTCCGCACAGTGTCAAAATACTGCCGTAGATAAAGGAGAGTCTCTCGGGGTGTCGGCCGGTGCTGGCCCTCGAACACCAGCGAGTACGAGGTCATGAGGGGCCCTGCCACCTCCAACTCTGAGGCTAACGTCGGGAAATATACGTAAACCCATAACTGAGAAAAGCAGTGCCGAATGTAAATACAAAGTGTTGAGGGGAAAATACAGACTGTAAAGTGCGTTGTGTGTGAAATGTACAAGTAATGAGGAACAGAAATGTAAATCAAGAGGATAGAAAGTACCTCCCAGGCTCTCCAATAACCGCCAAGTAAGTCTCCCTGCCCGCGGGAGGTGGCGCTCATGTAGCAGTAAAGGGTAGCCAGGCCGGCGCACCCCAGTCGTACCGACTGACCTGTGATAGGTCAACCAGAGCGCTCAACAGATACAGCCCAACCGTGTTCCCTCTACCGGCGAACAGAGTAGTCCCGAAGAGGAACATAAGAAAACCACGGGCATACTGCTCTGTCTCCTCAGGGGTCCCGAGCTCCATCTCCACCCGCCGAAAATGGGAAGAGAACCAAGTGTATTGGACTCTCACTTCCAAGCCAATGTTGAATACCCTTGGGACATTTTCTTGAACTTTTAACCACATATTTGTGATGTACACACATGGGAGGACACCAAAAGTTGGTGGCCGGCCAGTAATTCCACCTGACCCTTTTGAACCTTTCCTAAAAATGGCCTATTCTCTCTCCTGTTTTACAGTTGACAATTTTGAACCACAGGATTGTGTTGAGGGCACCTGGGAGGACAGCAATTTGTGATGGCCGGCCATTAAATCTTCTTGACCCTTTTGACCTTGGCCGGCCGGCCATGGGGGGTGGCCGGCCGGCCACCTGCAGCTCCAAAACCTGGCCGACCATAATCCTTGCAGCGTGTATCTTCCAGCGGTATATCTGTTTTCCCTCCAAAAAACCTGTATCTGAGGGACAACTTTTGGGGAGAAACTTGGCTTGTTTTCCCTCCAATTTTTCCCTTCATTTCTCCCCCTCTTTGATCTATATACCTGGCCTCCAGCATTGGTCTAAAAGGTTACCAAAAAATTCCCTAAGAGCCTCTTGCATTTTATCCCTCCATCTCTCTCATTTCCTTCAAAAAAACACCCAAATCCTATCCCATTTTCACACCACTACCTAGCATCACCACCACTACTCCATTTCTAGCAGCTTGGGGAGCTTTCCAGCAGCTAGGAGGCACCACTTCTCAAGCCAAGAAGCAACCAAGGGTTGGTCTCCAAGGGTAAGTACCAATTCCCTCTTTTTGAGCTTAATTTTGCAACATTTTTCTAGCTATTTTGTTTGCTGTTTTAAGCTCCAACCAAAACTGAAAGTACCCTTTATTTGAGTTATATTTCATGTTTCATTGAGGGACTTTTGTCATTTGAGGTCCCCATCTTGCACTTGCTTCATTATCCCTCTTGTATGCCATAATCTTGCATGTTATTTTTAGCCTATGTGTGATCTGTTTTGGAGCATGATGTAAACTGTAGATAGGCTTATTTTGAGCCCTTATTCAACATTGAAGAAGGGCTCATCACTGTTTGGGACCTCCATGTGCCACTTGTCATTATACCCCTCTTTGGTCCCCTTTTTTTGCATGATTTATTAGCCTATTGTGCTTCTGTTTTTAGGCTCTTTTTACAACTGAAAACAGTCTTATTTTGGCCCATTATTCATATTTCATTAATTGTCTTTCATGGTTTGAGGCTTCTTTCATATACTTTGTGTTATATCCCTCTTTTTGGCCTCATTTTGCATAGCATTTTTTTGACATATTTGCATACTGTTTTGGGTCCGGCCATCAACTATAAAATGTTTTATTTTTGGCCCCTCTTCAACATTGTTGAAGGGCCCCTTTGTGTTTAAGGCCAGAAACCACCACTTGCTTCTTTGGCCATCTTTTGGCCCATTTCTTGCATGAGAGTTTAGCCATACCTGTGCTGGTTTTTGTGGTTTGACATAAACTGTAAAAGATCATATTTTGGGCCCCTCTTCAACTTTGTTGAAGGGCCCTAATCTGTTTGGGGTCAAAATCTGTGAGTTGTTTCTTTACCTCACGTTTAGGGTCATTTTTGCATGCTAGTTTTGCCATATTTGTGCTTGCTTTTTGGCCATGCTTTGAACTGTAAAAATGTTTATTTTGGGGCTGCCTTGCTTCTGTATTTTCATTCCATGTACCAATTATGCATGCATTGCATAGCTATGGGCCATTTCATGCGCCAAAATTCATATTTCGGGAGGAATTCCATGCATCGGGTATCATTTCGCTTTGTTTCGGGGCTGTTTTTCCCCTCATTTTGCTACTGATTTTTTCATGTTTACGTATCATATTCCATGTCTTTTCCATGTCTCATTAGAGTGGCATTTCAGTGCCTGAGGGTCGGTCCTCGGTTTGCGTGCACGCGTGCACGCATTTCGAGTTATTTTGTTTTCATCTGATGGCCTCCTATGTGAGTGTGGCTGAGGCTCTCTCATGTTGGTGTAAGCCCATTATAGCATTGCGTATGCCATTTCATCCATAGCATTGTGTATGCTCGGTTGTGTATTACCTTATTGCATTGTGTATGTCATTCCATAACATTGTGTATGTTAGGATTGTATCTTAGTTGCATTTTATGCATGTCATGCATATTGCATCGTGTTCGGGAGAGGAGTTAGCCCGGGCACGGGAAACGAGGTACGTTTCGTACTCCGAGTGACGGAACGTGTCTCAATTCCAAGTCACCGACACTCCGGATTACCCATGATGGAGTTAGGTTTTGTTGTGTTTATATGTGCATTCATTCCATATTGAATTGCACATTTCGACCCCTCGGCCATCATGCATCGATATGCGTGATTGGTAGCACGAGGATCGAGGCATGCATATATCTGTGAAAATACATTGCTATGCCCCTTTCCCGCTCTCTGTTACAGCAAATCAAGAATCAGCGGTCTTCCGAGGCTTGGCACGCATTTCAAGGACAGGTGCAAACAGACGCTAATTGGGGAATCGCCACGGATTTCCGCGTAAAGGCAACCCGGGCATGCATCATTCATCAGAGTCAAGGCAGTCCCTGGCTTGCATGCCAGTTTACAGCTTTCTTAGTTAATTTGTAAATTAATTAGGAATTTGTACATTATTTGGATTGTAATATTTGGACCGTACTATTCTTTCATTTGGGACTGTATTATTTATTTGGACCCTCTGTGCGAGGGCATAATTGTAATAAGTGTGGGTGAGTGTGATGTATGTCTTCCAACCCCACGTCTTTCTTCCCTTTTATTTACCTGCTTATGATGGTTAGATTAGGGCATATTTCAATTAGCATACAGTATGATAGCATGTTTGCATTCATTCATCTGTCTTGCACGCACCGGGCTCGGCGCATCATACTAACTGCATCGTATTTTCAATTCCAAGTTGAATACGTGTTAGCTGTAGCATTTCATGTGCCATGTTTAGAATAGCCGAGCCTGCTATAGTTGCATTTTTGCATGTGTT